TTATAGGCAACCGAACAATGGCTACGTTTTCTGCGCGACCGTGTTGACACACGTCGAATGAGTAGCATGCTGCTAGCTTATATCTTCGCAAACGAAACATGTGTGAATATGGAAATGTACCACTACGTGAAAATTCATCACATACTTGACGTCTGCGCCCAGGCCTTTTCACCCACTGCCTCAGTCGATAACTGATCCCAGAGGCACCTCGCATAACCGGTTCGGAAGCACAACTTTCGACAGACATCGTATCCCAAGGAGATTCTGCAGCTTCAATACCAACATCTTCGGCCACCTTTGAAGTGAGCACTCTGACACCAGTTTACTTCGGGAGATTAAGTACGTTACCGAATCATCCATGGGTTGGAAATCAGATGTAGTGGGTGTTCCAGGAGATGTATCCGCTGACTTCATCAAAGCATCGTCCAGCGATGCTATTGAGGAGCTGCTGTAATCGCTGAAAAAAGAGAGGATGCCTTCCCGTAGTAGTGATAAACGAAACATTTCGGCAACAAACTATGACATTGTAATTGGATAATATGTAGCAAATAAGACATACTGTAGTGGCAGCTGTGGATAATCTTCTCCTGTGACAGGTCGCTTAGGTAGACGCACCTTCTTCACATCCGAGCACCGCAACACTTCGACGAAGATACAGTAGGGAGCCTATTGAATTCAAAATTAGAAAAACACCAAAACCCTGAGATACTAACCTTATCTTTGCTATTGAGCACACAGCTGTTTGTAGGTGGAATGTTCAAAACAACATGACCTTCAGACAGAGGTATCCATACTCTAGCAGGAAGATGCATGTTCAAGACAAGCAGCTCACTGACCAGACGACGGGTCTGAAATTCGCAAATAGGCAGTGAAAGACAACTCTCGAAGCAAAAAGACCAGTTTGAAAAGTTAAGCATAATACTCGTGAACGATGCAGCCACGTGTCGCAGTCGAGATTTGTGAAATAATCAGGCTGTCACTATCTGTAGTTGCGCTGTATTCTTTTCATTTCAATT